GCACATCACTTTAAAAATTTAGAAGATGGGAATTTATAATAGGAGCGCCCTGTCCACATTTGCTATCAGAATCTCTAAGAAACTACTTAGAAGTGGTTTCTAACTACAGGAAGTCCTCATTTAGGGACCACAAGTGGGATCAGCAACTTAGTCGCTAAGTGAAGCAGTTGCTAAGTGAAACCACAACTGTGCTGATGATCTGACTTCAGCTTTCCTTTGCTTTACAGACCTGCAAAGGTCATAAATGTGAGGATTGGTCATAAAGTTACCTTTTCATCACCACTGTAACTGCGAACAGTCACTAAATGAGGCAATCACTAAACGAAGACTACCTGTATATGGAAGATTAGAACTACATCTGCACTAACAATAAAAGTGTGCTTGACAAAGAGCCACTGACATATACTTGTTGGGTACGATTGCACAACCAACCCTGTGTCCATCTAATGGCGACACAGTCTACCCCTCATGTTGAAATCTTCTCTACAAAAATCAGTCATCATGAGAAACACTGTCAAATGGAAATCAACACGATTTCAGTATGAAAGAAATCGAACTGTGAAAACTGAAATCACGTTCAGAAAAGAAAGTCTACATAAATGCTGTTAATTATCAATGTATCAATTCGTCTTCGGCGTTAAGCTTCCCCTGCTTATCATATTCTGACAATTCTCGTAACTGCTAAGAAAATCATGCCTCTATCACAGCAGTTATATTTGTTCTTACAAAGAAAAAGGAACCCAAATATTCATCCTTACCAAGACAAACAGTCCTTGAGGGCATTGAAATATGGATACCTGGATATGACACAAACAGCAAATGGTACAAAGCACGTATCGACTCTAGAGCCCTGTGTGTTTTCCCAATGTACCTGCCCGTTGTAGAGGCGTCCATCCTACAAGAAAAACACATCCACTTGTGATTTGGTTGTCTCTCAAGAATTCTGTTTTCGAGAATGGGGATGTCATTCACATACACACAGAGACACAACTATCACAGAATCAGGAGGAGGTCACTAAACCATCATGTCCTGCTCAGCTGCGACACTTCAGTTAGGGAGGTGCTTAGCTGACCTCCTTGCCATCTGTCTTTCAAACGAAGAATTGAAGATATGCCTTTTCGCCGAGGCATTTCCAGGATAATAACTACTCTAGCACCAGGCTCTCTTAAAGTATGCCTATTTTTTATTTCAGGTTGCTATTTTTTTTAAATCAACTTTGCTTTTAATTTTGTAGTTGTATAACGAGTTGGTTCATAACTGTTGAAAAGAAGGTCGGAAGTTGCTTCTTTTTTCTTGTTTCTTTAACTATTTTTCCTTCTTATTCCGCTTTGCTTTTTGCACTTTCTTTTTCTTCTTTCTCTTCATCTCCTCTCCTTTCTTCATATATTTTCTTTACATTTGCTTTTTTACTTATGTAAAAATTATTATTACAGTTATATTTTAAAAAGAGAGGAAGAACAGTACAGAAATGAAATGTAATGAAACAAAATGAATATGGCCAGTCAGTTTTAGGCATATTGCTGGATATGTCAGACAGCTGGAACCCAATTTAGTTTTTAAATGATTTGGTAAAAGCCCATATTTCAGAAACCAACTCCACAGGACTTGGTTTCTGTATTAGGAAGTTAGCAAAGTCAAAATATTATTATATGGATTCACTCTATATATTTTTATGACTAGAACACATGATCAAGAACTATTATTTTCAGAACATTATACTCCAAACGTAAGTGAATCTCAAAGCTAGAGATAAAGACAACGGATTCAAAATAGTCAATAAATTCTAAAATTAGTCAACAGCTCAGCTGGAATAGCTTTATTAAGGCCAAAGAAACCAATTAAAAAACATACTTGCATAGGCTGGTAATACTGGGCCACAACTCCGTACGTTCGGTTTCCAAAAACATCTGTGAAAACAAGAAAATGGATGTGGTCCTCTCTAGATTCACATGTGATATAAAATCCTCCTGTAAAAAAAACAAAGGAAAAGCATTTCAGAAAGACAGCACAGATCTTCCAGAATATCGCATCAGTACAAGGAACATAATTCACATATTTACAAACCCCTGAAAATTAGCAGGGGTCATAAAAATCAACACTTTTTAACTAAGGAACTGGGTTGAAGCCAACGTATTGCCTAAACCCAATAATTTATTTGTTTGTTTACAGCATTTCTAGACCGCTCTACTCCCAATCGATCCTAAGAGGTGAAACAACAACTGAAACCAACAAATAATATAATTAACTTCCTACTGAAAAGAAAAAAATGAAAACATTCTGCTTGGGCCAAAGGTACAATGAAATAAAACCTTTTTAACTTGTTAGGAAAAGCCACCCCTCGTGTAGCATAGAAAGGAAGGGACTCTGAGAAGACCCTGAGGTGACAATCAAAGGGAGGACACATTTTATTCTGCCAAGGCGTTGGTTGAAGTAATCTGATGTTTATCAAGAACACTCTGAAGATTTCATACTTTGCACACAAAGTATGACACATTTTAGTCTTAAAGGAAGTGCAGGGAAAGCAGTGTTGATCCACTGGTCCAAAATAAGAAGACAGAACAAGGGCTGAATAATCATGACAATCTTCAGAGTTTCAGATGCAGTGCACCATAATCAAGGCTCATCACAGGCTATCTTCACACATCAAACACATAACATAGCTTGTATGACTTTGGCCTGGCATGTGGGATGAACTCTGTGATATGTATGCCACACTTACTGGAAGGAAGTGAGACCAAATCTTTCTAGAGGGCCTTTGGGGAAGGGTCATGTATCATTGGAAACCAGATCTTATTAGTTTTTTTGGTATTGCATATTTATTGAGAGTATGTATTATTTGTTGTTCAATCTCACTCAAGGCACAAACAACCAGGCTCAAATGATCCTACTTCAGACACATTGTGCAAAAGACCCAGCTCTCAGGAGAAGGCTCTGATGCTGGGAAAGGTGGAAGGTAAGAGAAGAAGAGGAGGACCAGCCCATTGTGTCCAAGGAGATGGACTCAGTTACGGGGAAGATGGGTGCAGGTTGGGGATAGATCATCTTAGAAGAAAATCTATCTGTGTGGTGGCTGAGAACTGATACCAGTTTGATGGCACATAATCAATTAATTATTAATTATAGTTTATTTTGATTCTGTGGATATTGCAATGTTTTGCATTTACTTATTTATTATTTTTCACATTTCTATCCCACTGCAGTCAAGAGACTTTCAGTGGCTTACACAGAATACAAAACTAATCAATCATCCATGGTATAAAATTCCATAAAAACAATCAAAGCAAACACCTCCCAAACATAAAAATATAAACAATAACAATAGAAGTTAAAGATGGCATGATAAAATCAGGGCAAGGCTCTCTGAAACAGCTCTGTCTTTAAAAGCTTCTGAAATGTCAGCAAGGAGGGGGCCAGCCCCCTCCTCCCCCCATCCCCCGAACCCCCAAACAATGTGGGATGGATCGTTGTTTCTCCCTGTTGGATCTGGTCGGTTGGGCTGGAGTAGATCGTCCTGCAGATATTGCTGTAAGCCACCAGGAGTCAATAAAATTTGGCAAGGTATAAGTTGAAGGAATAAACAAACAAACCAGATTAAAAGAAACCTTAACTTGAGATGTGAAGCCGGCCTCTACACTCTCACCTGTGTAGCTGCAAATGTTACCAGACCTTGATATCGGTAGCTAAAATAAAAGTCACACAATACCTCTAGTCATACAGTCGAGCCTCTGCAGCGAAGTGATTTATAAATCTTAAAAATAAAAGAAATACCTGGAAAGCAAAGCTGGGGCAATCCATTGAGGTCGACATCTTTGGGAACGCTGACATCTTCATCCTCAGGTACTTTGGGGGCTCCATTCAGAGCCTTTGCATTCTCAATCTTAAATTTCTCTTTCTTTTTTCGAAAGGAACGGCGTTTTGCTTTATTGAAAGCATTACTATTAAAAGGAAGGGCTTGTAAATCTTGCTTGCTGATAAATGGAGGTACAAAAACGGAAAGAACTTCTGGTTCAAGTGGAGGAATGCTTTTCAGATCCTTTTTCCGAGCAAGCTGAAAAACAGAATCAAAATAATTAGTATGGATTTTGTGAAAGTCAATCGGTTAAATCAGCTTTTAATATTCAGCAGCTCTTACTCATTACTGTGAAAGAGGGACAGGCATCTTCCAAGTACCTTTTTTGCAGCTCTCAGAAACCTCCTTGGTTACGATTGCTAAAAACTGAAGACACTCTGAGACTGGAAACAGATAAAAGCTATAGTATAGACCCTAAAACAGGCATATGGCAATTACAAAACAAAAAATTCTGCTACAGTCCTGCCTATGTTTATTTTTTAATTTATTATTAGATTTATAACCCACTTTTATTTGTACAACTCAAGGTGGTGTATGTAATGCTCCCATCTCCCATTTTCCCTACCACAACAACTCTATGAGGTGGTTGGGCTGAAAGAGAACGACTGGACCAAATTAGGCTTCATCCATAAGGAGGACTAGAACTCATGGCCTCCTCGTTTCTAGTCCAGCACCTTCACCAGTCCACCAAACTGGCTCTATAACCCTCATGACTAGCCCTCAACTCTCCAAAAATATAAGTGTGGTCCTTGAATACCAAGACGTTGCCCATAAGTTGTAAAATATCACCAAAATGTTTCCTTCTAAAATATTTGCTGATAAGCAGGTCACCTTACATTGATCTCTTAGTGTAAGTCAGAAATGGAATCCTATCAGACAAGCTACTGCCACTATCAAGAATGCAGAGGCTGATTGGAGCCATTCTTGTATGACTGCAATCTTTGATCATTTGAGCTTCCTTCATGATGAAAGTGTCTCAGCAACAATATTCTCTTCCTATAAACAAGAGGAAGCTCTTTCTGTTACTCAATTATTAACCCTAGACTGCCAAGGATTTATGAAGCCACAATTTATGAACTCGCATATACAGTGTATTAAAAAACAAAACATGAAATATGCAAGTAGCACACCGGAAAAGTAAGATGAAGAAGTGCAACAATGGCCAAACTCTAAATTCCTGGTCTACATCCTGCTCATTACAGCTACTTCTTTTGGTGCCCCCCACCCCAGGCTCCATTATATCAATTAAAATGTAATTAAAATCCTCTGAGAAACACAAAGCAGAGTGTTAACATTTAACATAATCTTGATTTCCAAGAATGCTACAGTATCTCAGAACCATACGGAGAAAATTTAAACAATAGCATACAACTGGACTCATCACAAATCTCACTGTTAACTTGCATGCCAAAAATTCATTGGCATTTGTACAAGGGAACAAACTATTCCCATCTACAAACTCTTCTCACTTTAGATTGGAGCTGGTTTGGTTTATTTAATCTTAGAAAAAAATGCTTCATGCTGAATTTCTTTTTAGTCATTTCTACAATTTTCAGTAAGAATTCAAAATCCTGTTCCAATTTCTTTTCAGCGAATTTTAATGTACTTATTCATAGCAGATCAGCACCATCTTGCAGCAATTGTATTTTCTTTTGGAATTTCCTTTTGAAGCTGCTGTTTACCCTTCATTGGAACAGTTCTGTAGGTTGGCATTTTAATATCAAAGGTTTTAAAATGTTATTATAGTTCATCTTTTTTTATAAATAATGTTTGATTTTGTTCACCTCTTTTGAGATTGACCAATCTTCCAAGGAAGGGCTGAAACCTCTAGCCACACATCTCAATGTTCTATGGCCAGGAGCTAACATTCTAGGAATTATTTCATTTTTTTTCACTTTTTCCTGTTAATTGCTAAAATGGCAGGAGAGTGTGCAAGCCCTATCCCTCTAACACACCAGGAGTAAGGAGTAAGGAGAACACTGCCATACATCAGAAACGTCTCAGAAACCACCAACAGACTATTACAACCACATGGAATCACCACAGCATAAAAACCAACTAAAGCCCTCCAAAATATTTTAAGTAAACCAAAAAACCCAGTAGCCCAAGAAGAAAAAAGCAGTCACCTACAACACACAACGTAAGGACTGTAACAACCACTATGTAGGACAGACAAGCAGAATGCTAGCAGAGCACATCCATGAACACCAACT